AACATTCGTATCCACACCGCGCCCTGAAGGACAGTCACAGCCAAGTTCTTGATGTTGAATTGAGTGAGTGATTGAGAACTTTTACAAAACAACAACAACAACAACAACAAAGGAAACCCTACAAAAACAAACTTATAGCCTTTAAAATACAAATGAACGTGGTGATCATTTTACTCACTTGCTAGTCAGGATTGCCGGGAACATGGCTTGGTGTCCCTGAGTTGTGATAAAATTGCCGAGTCCCAGGCAAGCCACCGACCAACTTTTCCTCCTCCGCCACTTCTGCCTGCCTTTGTACATGTCCGCAGCACGGGACCTCAGTAAGCATCGTGTACCAGTTGGACACATCACAGATGTGAGATACCTGAAGTCTATAATGAAGAGAGAAAATGACCAAAATAGGCATATGAATCAAGGATGGCAGTTTTACCGTTTACATTTGAAGACTTGAGTAAAATATTTATGTGAAATTACCCGGTGGTGATAGCCAGACTTATGTATGTGCACATTTTGTCCTTTACCCACACACTCGTCAGCTCGAGGACACTTAAGAGAGTACTTCCATACCCCAACAGGACCCCACAAAAAGACGTGGCTGCGAAAAAAAGAGCTGTACACTGGACACAGCAGCCCTGGCATAGCCAGGAGGTTCTGGTGGGCAAAACCACATGCAATCTGATTTAATCACCCGTCGCCTCTTTAACACACCAGTAACATCCTTGTATGTCTGAACAGGAGTAAACAGCCCTCTTTCAGTGTCCTCTTTAAGCCAGGAAATGTCAGCAGATGGGATACCATTAGGCTTTTCCCAGAGACACCCCGATCCCTCTAGCTCCACCTGAAACACACACATATGACATAGAATACTACAACAACACGCACGTGCGCACGCACGCACACACACACTCTAACTGAAATGGTCTGATTTCAAATAAATATCACTTACAGGTGAATGACTCTCAACGGTAATTGTGTTGTATGATCATGACTGGGATGCAGATGACTTAGTGAGTCCAACAGTGTCAAGTTTTTTGGACTGTGTGGCAGCCTCTGTGGACTCACGGTGTTTGGGCTGCACAGTAGATTTGTTTTGTGACTGTACAGTGTTCTCAAACTCCTTGGACAGGTGAGCTGTGTCTGTGTTCCAGACGTCTAGGAGGAGGAAGCACCTCTGCTTGTCAGCTGTTGCTTTAGAGCAGGGGTGTCAAACTCAAATACACAGTGGGCCAAAACTCAAAACTGGAAGAAGGTCGTGGGCTAACATTAATATTTATTGGAAAAAAAAAAAATCTTCCTCCAGATATAAGAATGAATCTTTTCTTATGGACTCAAACAAGTTTTGCTGAAAAACTGAATATGGAACAAGCAAAGCTTAATACTAAACAATATATATATATTAGCTGTATAATACCAGTAGGCCAGCTCTAATAATAATTTGGTATGGCTTCGCGGGCCAAATGTAATTAGGCTGCGGGCCAAATCTGGCCCGTGGGCCAGAGTTTGACACCTATGCTTTAGAGGTTGACTTGCAGATGTGGAGATGTGGACTTCAGTGAATCTATAAATGATATGAACAATTAGTTTTGTAATTATAATGACTTTGTACAAACAGTAGCCTACAATGTATATTAACTCTGAATCTCACATACCTTCCACAGACTGGGATGCAGCTATCAGTTCAGCATCATCACCTGGCCACAATGAAGGATCACACCTGGGGGTACTCGTCAGCCGTTGCTAAACAATACAGTTCATTGTGAGTACCGCGATCGATGGAAAAAATGCACATGCACACTTTGCCAAGATTAATCACATATCACTACCTTTAACTAAGTAATTTACTGCCCTGTTCTGCTGCACAGCACTTACTTGTTCCTGTCAGGTAGTGATCAGCTGATCACGGGGTCGGGTTTGAAAGGGAGACACCACCCACCTGTTCGCCGCTCAGACAGCGTTCTCTTCATGTCAGGAGCTCCTAATCCTTGCCCCTGTCACGATCGAGGGAAACGCACGAATTAAACACAGTAATTCGGCGTGCCCGTGTGGCGTGCTGGCTAGACCCAAACGCGGCGAAGGCGCGTTGGAACAGGCACGCACATACTCTAGTAACGATCAGTGCACGAAGCGTGGCTTCGGAACTGGCGTTACAAACGGAGAGCGAGCGGAGCCGGGCTGAGAAAATTAATCATGAGGAAAAACACTCACAGTTGCTGAAGCAGGCGGAGACTGACGTCGGCAAGGATTAGGAGCTCCTGACATGAAGAGAACGCTGTTTGAGCGGCGAACAGGTGGGTGGTGTCTCCCTTTCAAACCAGACCCCGTGATCAGCTGATCACTACCTGACAGTTCCTTGTCATATGCATTGTTTCTGAACCTCTTCATTTGGATACTTGTGATGTGCGTCACTGGTGTGTTCAACCACCTCTTCACAGAACTGTTTATTACTGACTCTTTTCTCCCTACTCTTCAACTATACTATAAGGATGTTATCTTTGGCTATTATAATTTTAAAGACACGGACAATGATGCTTTCTTCTTTGTAAATTTGGTTTTATTTTTGGCAAAATTTCATATACACAAAAGCAAAGTCCTCGGCAGAAAGCCTGAACTTCTTGTATTAAAAATGGAACTTGCACAATATATAAGGACAATCTCCTCATCAAAAAACACCAAGGCCCTCGTGACTGTTAACATCTGTAACCGTTTGAAAC